CCATTCTTTACCATTTCTTCTTCTTCCTCCATCCTCCATCCTCCTCTTTTCCCTTTCTTCTTACCCCTATCATTTATTCCCATTCTTTACCACTTCTTCCTCCATCCTCCATCCTCCATCCTCCTCTTCTCCCTTTCTTCCTGTGTTTCCTTTCCTCGCTTGTTCTTTCAGTCCCGAGATTTCTGTGACGTGAGACGAAGCGACGTCGGGACCTATTTGGGAGACCGTTTTCGACCACTCTCGCCTTGGTTCTGTGCGTGCGGCGGTGGGGGGGAGGGGGTTGGGGGGGAGGGTTGGTGGAGGGGGAGGGGGGTAGATGGGGGGGGAGGGTCGAGATGAGGAACACGAAAGCACACACGCACGAGTATGAGCATGTGTATATATGTATGAAGATATATGTGTATACGTAAGACAAGTGTTACAGAGGCACATACAAATACATACACAGGTAGAGAGACATACGCACACACACACACACACACACACACACACACACACACACACACACACACACACACACACACACACACACACACACACACACACACACACACACACGCGCGTACATCCCTTATTGGATTTTACGTTCATTCGTATTTTCAGACACGTTTGTTTACATTGCGTTTTTTTTTCCTTCTCGAATTCTTACTCTTTTTCGTTTTCTTGTTCGTAAGAATTTAATTTTCGGTTTTCCAAGTTACACCTTCCTTCTATTTTTCTTCTTAAGTTATTCTCTCTTTTTTCGGTTCTTCCGTCTTTGTCCATTTTTTATCACTTTTATCTCTATATATTTTTCTCTCTTTCATCATATCTGCTATTCATAATTATTTTTCCTTTCATTTATCGTGCCCGTTTTTTTTTCTTTATTTTTCTTCTCTTTATCGTATCTGTTCTTTCTTCCTTTTTTCCCTCTCTCTCTATCCACCGTGTCTATTTTTCCCATCAGTTTCTTTCCTTCGTTCATTCTTTCTGTTGTTGTTTTTTGTCCCTTCCACCGTATTTATTTTTTCCTCTTCTCACTTCCTACTTTACCTCTATTCACTTCCCATTTTTCCTCTCTTTACTTCCTATTTTTCCTCTCTTCACCGTACCTGTTTTTTCCTCTCTTCACCGTACCTGTTTTTTCCTCTCTTCACCGTACCTATTTTTTCTCTCTTCACCGTACCTATTTTTTCTACATTCACCGCACCTATTTTTCCTACATTCACCGCACCTATTTTGCCCTCTCTTCCTATATTCACCGTGTCTGTTTTTTTCCCGCGTCACCTTAGTACCTTTTAGGTCTTTCTCCAGTCCCTCCTTTATCTCTTTCTCCCCCACCCCCCAATCGCCGTTCTCCTTTACATCAACCTTTTCATTAATCATTCGCTTGATCCCTCTCCCGTATTATTGCCTCCTCCGCCTCTTCTCTTTTATTTTATTTTTTGTTTTTGTTTTTTTGTTTTTTGTCTGTATGTTTAACTTTTTCTTTCTCTTTCTCTCTCTCTCTCTCTCTCTCTCTCTGTCTCTCTCTCTCTCTCTCTCTCTCTCTCTCTCTCTCTCTCTCTCTCTCTCTTTCTTTCTTTCTCTCTCTCTTTCTCTCTCTCTCTCTCTCTCTCTTACTTTCTCTCTACCACAATCTATCTATCTATATTTATCTCTCTATCTTCCTCCCTCTCTCCATCCCTCCCTCCACCTCCCCCCTCTCTATCTCTTCTCTTTTCATATCTCTTCCCCGTTTACTAACTCCTTTCCTTTATCGCCCTCTGTTTTATCTTGTTTCTTTCACAAACTTTCAGCTGTTTTTCCTCTCCTACTTTTTTTTTCTTTTCTTTTTTTACCTTTTCACTCCATTTCCTCCTTGTTATCTCTCTCTCCTCTTTCCACGATTCTCTCGCCGGCCATGTTTTTGTTTCCTTTGCCTCCGTCCGGTGTTTGGATCGGATTTTCTCTCTCTGTTTTTCTTCTGTTCTCTGTTCCTTATTTGTGTGTTTTTTTTTCTGTTTTCAGATTTTTCTTCTGCTCTATGTGTGTTTTTTTCTGTTTTCATTTTTGTCTTTTGTTCTCTGCGTGTTTTTTTTCTATTCTCTATTTGTTTGTTTTATCTGTTATTTATGTTTATTTTTCTGTTATCTATGCTATTTTTTCTATTTTTTTCTGTTCTGTATTTGCATTTTTTATCGTCTTTCGCTTTCTCTCTGTTAAGTACATAATGCGTTACACACTCTCTCTCTCTCTCTCTCTCTCTCTCTCTCTCTCTCTCTCTCTCTCTCTCTCTCTCTCTCTCTCTCTCTCTCTCTCTCTCTCTCTCTCTCTCTCTCTCTCTCTCTCTCTTTCTCTCTCTCTCTCTAGCTCAATTTCAGTCACCTTCTGATTCCGTTTGCAAATGACCAACATCAACGCATTGAAATGGCCGGGTAAATAAACGGGGAAGAAATAACACAAGATCACCTCATCCCCTTTCCTTCTCCCTCCCCCTCTCCCTCCTTTCCCCCTTCCCCTCCCTTCCCCCCTTCATCCCCTCTTTTCCCATTTCTCCCTCTCCCTCATCCTCCTTCTCCAGCTCCCTTCCCCCTTGTATTTGTTTTAAAAATATTTTGAGAAAAAATGTGTTCTATTAATCTCTATGTCTATCTGTCTATTCATTTATTTATCTGTCTGTGTATCTCTCTCTCTCTCTCTCTCTC